GAAAATTTTAAGAAACGTGTTTCTGTTTCCGAAACTTGAAACGGACCTTGGAGTTTTCATGTAACCTAGGTATGCATGGGATCTTTTTCCATAAGTATCTCTCACCTAGTTTGCACCAAGAGTTTAGTGTTAGAAGACAATCTCTTCCATAATTCTGAAGTGGGTTGAAATCATACTCATCATCTCTCTCCAACTTAAAACATTCTAAGCTATTACTGCACTTTTGATGTGCACAAATTCCCATCAAAATTGATAAATGCATAACTTTCATCTTTTTGAAGAGGTCGAAGCCAAAAAAATGAGAATGGACAAAAAACATATATTCCTTATACACTAGAGAAAAGTAAAACAAGGGTTAAAAATGYTGAATAACTAAATATTATTTTGCGGTTCACCCTATTCTCTCTCAGACACATTTTTCGAGGAGTCGCCGTCAACAACAAATGCATCACCTCCGCTGAGGCTGTGCCGTGCAGATCTTCCCCTCTTCTTGTAGCACCGCTCCTCCTCCTCTTGGACGTCATGAAGTGCTCCTGAAGAATAGCGTATCCCCACCTCCTCTGCCGGAGTTATTGCTGTCGACGAGTTTCGTCCCTCGGCCCTCTCGAGCTGTCCCATGGCTCGTAGAACTGGAACGATTGTTGTGAACTCACCCCACTCGTCACCAACTGTTATGGATCTGACCGGGACTCTTTTCCTGATGGAGCCTCTAGATCCACCAATCCCGCCTGATCCGTCGCCTCCGTCCCAGTCTCCAGCTTCATATTTTGCTCCACAGACCGTGTCACCGTCCCTCACCTTCGCTACTCCTAAGATCGGGAAACCTCTTGCTACACATTCCGATTTCCCTCTCGCCACCACCTCTGTTTTATTGGGTCTAGTGGGTTGTACCCATGAGGGGGTTGATGTGGTGGGCCTGTTAAAGCCCAGTAACATGGGTTGGAAAAAGGCCCAGCAACAGTTCGATTGGTCTATGCAAATATGGTATTCGACCAATTGTACTGTCTTTCTTGTCGAATTAGGCAAGTTGTTACAGAGTTCGTTAAAATCTTTGGTCTCCAAATCGAGCCTAGAGAGACCAATTCGCCTTCACTATGCTTCATTCCATCAATCATCGAAAGTCATATCTCCACGTATGAGAGGAAAAAAGTTGTCCGGATTCTCAAATCCAATAATTTGAGAGAAGATCAAAGTTTTATAGATTCTCAAATCCTGCAATTTACTCTCGGTGGAAGAGTTCAATTCCACCTTCTTCCATCTCTTTGAGCATGGTCGTATTTTCTTCTCTCTCATGGAGAGTGGTCGAACCCCCGTGCTTTATGTCGGAAACTTCAAAGTCACATGGTAAAGTGACTAACCTGAGACTCTCCAGCTTTGCCGTGAAGATCCTCTTGGCGCATCCGAAACATGTTTTGGATTTGTTGTCCATCTTTTGCGATGATCTCTCTACTTTATGCTTTATTGATTCTCAATTATGTTGAAATAACTATGGATGATGTTTAATTTTCCCCCTTTGTACTTTGAATGGTTAAATGAATGAAATAAACTTGTTGACAAAAAAAAAACTAAATATTATTTTTGTATGTACTATTTTACCAAATAATCGTTTAGTCTTGGGTTTCCCAAAAAGGTAGAGGTGTAGCGGTAACACAAACATGTTAGATTTGTTTTGTATCTTGGGTTTAAACTTTCATTAAGACAAAAAAAATATATTATTTAAATCGGAACATTTAAAGATTGATTCCAAATATTAGAAAAAATTAATACGAAAGTTTAAGATTTCCACA